AGTGTAATGTGTAGGTGCCCCAATACATTGCCCAGCACTATGTGAAATGTTTGGCATGGAAATGTATTTTATGTCATGGAAAAATCGTTTGAATTCATGGAATTCTACTGCTTAAAAAGTGTATGAACTCTGTGTAAAGGTTGTGTTTGGATTGAATGATTTTATGTTCTGCTTTCAGGATGAATATGATGTCTGCTCTCTTTAAGCTCTCCATGTTTATAAGGGTAAGAATTTTCTTCTCATGTCAGACATTTCTAAGGTGAATTACATTTCAAATTTAATAATGATGTTTTTTAAGGGACAATGCTTCCACGTGTTTCCCTAAGCCTGTCTTGATGTCAAGAAAATTATGCATGCTATCCCATATTAGATTGAGTTCTAGTGTATTATGTCATAATTTGACAGACTTGTGCTCTAAACTGTTCTTTTGATTTGTCTGTACTGCGGTGTGAATGTTGAACGTGAACTCTAATAACATTGTGGTGTTGTTGCAGCAATGCCATAACTACCTGACAGAGCAAGTGGGGATTCCAGTGTGGGGCTCGTATGTGATTTTTGCATTGGCAACACTTTTCTCTGGCCTTGCTCTAGGACTGGTAAGAACACACACAAACACAATGTTAAATGCAAGATGCATGTACACTTGTACTATAAGTAACTCCACCTCTGACTTGCTTTCATTTTGTATTTCTTTTTCAGGTGCTGGTGTTCATTGCTGATTTTGTTTTCCCATCGCGTCGCTTTTCTTCTCCAGCTTACTATCAGAGTGAGTGTGCTATTTTTTCTGTGAAGATCTGCTCATGTGAAGTTATTTTGCAGCTTGTTATGGGAAAAGTGTGGTCCTACGGCAAACGCTGGTTTTTGAATTGGCATTCATTTTGCCATGGATAGTAATGGATTAAAAAACTTTGAAACTGTCAGTTTTGCTACCAAACAAGCATGTTAGCTTTAAATACAATACGACTGCAGAACATTTGGTGAGCTTTAAAACTGTAAAGATTTAAATATAATTAAACCACAATACTGTTTTATTGTGTCGCCACCTAAAGCAAAATGGTGCAGTGCTACTCTATGTTTTTCCAAACTGCTGAGAAAAATTGATACGTTTTACAAAATGACAGACAGTGATGAATGTTTTTGATTAGGTAAGTTAAAGGCATCACTACACTGTGAATGTTTAACTTGCATGTATGAAATGCACCACTACCTAGCTGAGGTTTATGATGGTGTCATACAAGAGACAGGATTTGTAGAAATGCTCATTAAAATTGTGTTTCTGTCTTTTACTGTAATGTACCGCACGTTCTATTAACCTACATTTTGAACATGAACAGCAGGGGGCGATCTGACCACTTTCCTTCTGTGCAAAGCCATGCTTTGGGAGATTCTTCAATTAGGAGCACTTTTGACTTTATTTTGAACAGTTTCCAAGCACTCAATGGCAGAATTTGTGAATTTAATCACAATTGTACCAATGTTTAATTATGCTGTTATACTCTAGTTTTCATTATGATAATAAGTGTTGATAATGAAAGTGTTGAAGATAATGACAGTTATAGAGAAAAAGTTGGCCAAGTCTTGAGCTATGTCACAAATCTAGCACTTCTGTATAGCAAGAAAAAAAAAGTTGCCCTACTTGAAGAAGCATCACTCTTTACAGTTCTAGTCTTTACTCATTGACTTAAGATCTTCTGGCTTGCAGCACTAACAGTGATGTGATGATGAAAGATAAGCTCCTTGATGACTTAAAGCTATACTCTACATTGTGTTATGTGTTTATAAATATGTGTTTTCACATGGCATCCGAGTGGTCAGTTTTATGTATCTGTACTTGTGTTCGAGTAGAGAAACATGCCGTGGAGCAGGCACGTCTTCTGCAGCAGTTGGAGGAAGAGCAGGAGGCAGATGGAGAGGAAGAGGAGGAGGATGAAGACGAGTATGGTGGGAGAGAGGAGGAGTGGCGGAGAAGAGCTGCAGCAGAGGATGCTGTGAGGAGGAGAGCAGTGGGAGGAGGAGAGGAGGAGGACACCTAGAGGCCTAGAGAAGAACTGTGGACTACAACAGCACACAGACCAAACTGCTACAAAACGCACACCCATGCCACCATGGCATCACTCACGGGCCTCCTGATGACATCGCTGGTGATGTCATTGCTGTCTCACTGTGTGCTTATCCTAAACCACTCCCCTCCATTCCCCACCTTCCTTTTCTATGGAGTAAGAGAGAAAGACAGAAGGGAGGGCGGGCTGAAGGGAGAGAGAGAGACAGGTAGGGGCCAGGACATGGAGAGTGTTGAGATTTATGATTGTAAAATGAAACGTTTGGCTTTTACTGCCCGTCTAACCTTGCAGCGAACTAACTGCTATCTGCTAATGTATAACCGTTGAGTGTGACATGAGTGTAGAGGACCACTGGGTGAGCGAGCACAGTAAAGCTTTACATGTGTTGTTTGGATTCAAGGCTGTTTTTGTGCTTTTTGTATTGTTATTTTATTAACTGAGTTACTTTTGAATCTGGTACTTTTTTGAATCAGTTATGCTCAACTGAAATTTGTATTACATTGGTAGTTGCTGTATCAGTTATTCTAAAAGGACAACATTTTCCAGACATTTTTGTCAGTCTAATTTTGCTGATTTTATGTATATGTGTGTGCATTTTATGTGTGAGTGTCTGATGGCTGTGTTGAGACCCACTGGTCCATTAGACCATTGGTTCTTAACTCCAGTGGTAGGGACCCACTGCCCTGCACTGCTTCATCTATTCTCTGCCCGAGCACACCTAATTCAGTTCATAAAGGGCTTCATAATTATCTTAAGGGGTTGGATTAGGCGTGCTGGAGCATGGAATAATTGACACTGTGCAGGGCAATGAGCCCCCGAGGACTGGGGGCATGAGACTATAGCTGTGTGAGGTGTAAATCTCAGCATTTTGATCAGAACACGGTGCGCAGGGTGCTAAGTTCAGGCATTAGCCTGCTGTTCTGCAGGAAGGCTCTCATTGTAGTGTGATTTTCCAAATAAAGCAAAGTTTGCTGCTTACCCAACAAAGTAATACAGAATCTTTTTGGTTAGTTTAAACAATAATTTATGCCTATAAGGACAGTTCCAACAGATTTAAAGTGCTTCTTCAGAAACTATTTCCTTTTACAGAACACATATATAGGCACATTCAGACACCACCTTCACATTCTCTCTTTTCATTTAGTTGGCAGTGTGTGTGTGTGCACACGTGAGATACTAATTGATATTGCACAGTGATGATTTTTTTTTCTTTGTTCCTCTTGACAATTTTTTGAGGTCTCTTAAATTCTTGGGCTAGTGTTTATAGATGTTACAGGTATTTATACTTGCTGCTGATTCTGAACTAAATTCAGCTCAAGGTTTTGACTGAGCCAACACAATTCCAAACACAATTCCCTACCTTCTCTTCAAATAAATTCTAGATGAACGCTACTCAGTTAATAAACGCAGCCAAATCACAATCTGTCCCTGCACTACAAAATGTTTTAGCATCGATTCATTAGTAGTTTCATTAGTAGTCAATAGTTTCATCTTTAATTTAAACCTGATTGCTGCATACATCATAAATCGTGCCACCAGATGTCACTGTATGTGAACTGAGATTAATTTTAAACCTGCCATAGACATATTTTAGCTGATGTTTAAAGAAAAGCGACTATAATTTAAGCACATTTTTAGCTCAGATCATTACTTAGGCCATGGTGTTATGCACACATTAGTCTGGCTTTTAAGACAGGCAGTTATTATTACTTACATAAATGTACCTTACAGAACTTTGAAAGATAAAGTATTAACCCCTGAGTTATCGTGTTTCCTAACGTATTAATTTCTCTGTGGTGATATGTGTCAGTTAGCCTAATCAGACTGATGAACTTCATAAGGTGAATTCAATCAGTCAACTGAATTGTTTAGTTTCATGTTGGCTAATAACCTTAAAAAAACATGGTCAGTTCCTCTGAACGTTTTGTAGCTTTTATTTGATATATCTGAAGAAAAGGTTACTTAAAAAATAAAGAATATTATATACAGTTTATCCTATAGAGCTTTTAGGAATAATTCCCGTTGCTGTGTCACACCTATAAAATACCCTGTTGATTGTAGACATAAATAAACTATAGGAAGTGTAGCTAAACTGCTGATAAGCTAATGACAGAAGAATAACCCAGCTGTGTTTTAAAGGGTTATTTTTGCTGATGTGGAGTGTAGGTCAAACAGTTTCCCAACAGTGTTGCCATTCTCTCACGTGTCTAATGTTACTGCTTCAGCCCAGGGGAGATAGCAGTAACTGTGCCTTCTGTCTTTGTTTTCTTTATCTATAAAGAATAGAGATGAGTCTATAAGCCTTTCAGTAGCACTCTATTCTGCTCTGCCCTCTCGATTCTTCTCACTTAATGCCTGCACTGTTAGTCTGATCAAAGTGTATCTGTCAAAAAATGCAGCAACTTTTAATTAAGTTACACAATGATACATTTAAATCTTAAATAAATGAAAAAAAATCCAAACAAAATACAACTGAGAATAAAAAGTGTTGGAATTTGTAGATTAAATTTTGGGACAATTGGACATGAACATATGAAGTATTATTGAGTATGAAGAAAAACAATGAAACCATGTTTAGTAAATTTCCTCACTAGTAAGTCAGTATATGATATGAGACAGATTAAGATTCTCTTTTCTTTATCCCTAAAATGCAACACCCCCTAACTCACTCCTGTTTTTGAGTTGGGTATAACTTTGTCCAGTAATGTAACCAGTATAAAGTCTAAATATATGCTTTCTTCACCTCCACATGACAAAGCCTCCATGTATAAATTGAATACTGGTGCACAGTGAATTAAATAAAGTCAGTGTGCAACAAAAGGCAAAAAACAAAAAATGGCTTTTTTCTTCATTCTCTTGTTTTCAAACTGGAATGTGCAGAGCAGCCATGAGCACATTGTGGGCATCTTCAGCCAGTCCATCAAGACAACGCTTCAGTGTTTAATACACAGTGACAAAGGAAAGTGGACCTGCTGCCAGAGATCCCAGAACAGGGATGAGACCAAGCCAGTGTTCTGCTCCTGCTTCTAAAACTCCAACAGTGCTGCCAAAGAGCAACTTAACAACCAGATCTTGGTTTATTTCTGCATACAAAGGAGACTTCATCACTGCTTTCAGCTCATCTACTGACTTTCCTGATCTGTCAGAGAGCCTCTGCAAGGAGGCAGGATCAACACTGAAGGCATTGCAGTATCTTTTAAGCTCTACCACCAAAATCATCACATCTACAATGATTGAAACAGCTGCATTCGCTATAGGGATGGGAACAGCTGCAACACCAGCAGACAGCAGAGCCAACTTCCATATATCTTTGTGCAGTGCCTTTTTCTTTCTCTCATTGATCTCCAGAGTGATGTTTGGAAGGGCCAGCATCAGCACATGTTTCTTGTGCTGGCGAAGTTCCATCTCCATGGTCATTTCAAGACGGTTGAAATCATAGAGAGCAAGATCAAAGCATGAAATCAGGAAGACCACAGGAGAATCTACGCCAATCTTTTCCAGCCCTAGGATGAAAACAAATGTTCATTTTAAAACACTGATTATAAAACAGTATAGTATGCAATATACAATATAACAACAAATAGCTCAAATTATTATTCTTATTATTACTCACTATGTATTATTACTTTAATTTTTAAAAATAAAATGATACAATGTAATACATTAATTATTTATAAGTAAACCTTCAATGCAGTCTTTTCGGATACGATCCAGTGTCTTTTGCTCATTAAATATTTTCTTCTTCTTTCTTTTCTCAGCAGAAATGTTGCTGTCAATCTTTGAGCGAATAAAGTAGAACTTCTTGTTCATTTTCACTATCTCTGCTGCTAAGTTGGCGTGGCATTCTCTGAAGCGATCTGATGCGATGATGATGAAAAAATCATAGCATTCAAATTCAACCTGTTTAAGATATTGATCAGCTTTGAAGTTGGGTGTTCCAATGCCAGGGAGATCCCATATTTTGACATTTGGGTATTTTGGATGTGGGTAAGATGTGGGAAACGTAGTGGTCTCTACAACATCAGTTTCTGCAGAGCCCTCCTCCTCATCCCCCATTCCCCTGAAAGCATTGATGAAGGTGGATTTTCCAGAGCCGGACTCTCCTGTTACAGCAATGTTCAGCTCCACACGGTCTTGCTGTTCAAAATAATCCTTAATCTTGCTGACAACTGATGGCAGATCTTCATGGGTCAGTGTTTCTTTAATGTCTTCAATGGTAATAATCTCAAACATCTTGTGTATAAACTCATCCATCTATAAAATAAAACACATTGTACTTCTTTTAGTGCAAAACTCAGAGTTAAATCATACAGATCATCTCATGCTTCAGTTCTTTCTTCACCTCCACATGACAAAGCCTCCATGTATAAATCGAATACTGGTACAAACTGAATTAAAATAAAGTCAGTGTGTACCAAAAGGCAAAAACAAAAGACACAGACAGTGTTCTGCTGCTGCTTCTAAAGCCCCAACAGTGCTGCCAGCCAGCAACCCGATGACCAGATCGTTGTTTATTTCTGCATACAAAGGAGACTTCATTACTGCTTTCAGCTCATATACTGACTTTCCTGATCTGTCAGAGAGCCTCTGCAAGGAGGCAGTATCAACACTGAAGGCATTGTAGTATTTTTTAAGTTCTACCACCAAAATTATCACATCTACAGTGATTGAAAGAGCTGCATTCGCTATAGGGATGGGAACAGCTGCAACACCAGCAGACAGCAGAGCCAACCTCCATATATTTTTCTGCAGTGCCTTTTTCTTTCTCTCACTGGGCCACATTCACCAACCGATCTTAAGAAGAAATTTCTTCTTAAAGCCCACTTATGCAGTTTTGATTATGATTGTCAGTCTCCAGTGTTTTCTTATTTGGGATTTGTTCTTAAGTAAGAACAGAATCTACACACTCAAGAGCACAAATTAGTGAATGGTTCTGCACTTTAAGAACACATAATAACTCTGATGTAGACTTTTTCTTAGGACCTTTTTCAAGAACACATTAAAGAACAAACTTAGGAAGATATTGGAGAATGAGGCCCAATGACCTCCAGAGTGAAGTTTGGAAGGGCCAGGATCAGCACACGTTTCTTGTGCTGGGGAAGTTACATTACCATGGTCTCTTCAAGATGGTTGAAATCATAGCAAGCAAGATCAAAGCTTAAGATCAGGAAGACAGCAGGAGAGTCTACACCAATCTTTTCCAGCCCTAGGATAAAAACAAATGTTCATTTCAAAGCATCCATTATAATAGATGTATCTAATAGTAATGAATAGACTGAAATAATCATTATTTTCATATCGGTGTATTTGCTGTTACTTATTACTTATTATTACTTTTTTTTTAATAAGATGATGTAATTTAATATACTACTTGTTGATAAGTAAACCTTCAATGCAGTCTTTTCGGATAGCATCCAGTGTCTTTTGCTCATTAAATATTTTCTTCTTCTTTCTTTTCTCAGCAGAAATGTTGATATCGATTTTTGAGCGAATAAAGTAGAACTTCTTGTTCATTTTCACTATCTCTGCTGCTAAATTGGCGTGGCATTCTCTGAAGCGATCTGATGCGATGATGATGAAAAAATCATAGTGTTCAAATTCAACCTGTTTAAGATATTGATCAGCTTTGAAGTTGGGTGTTCCGATGCCAGGGAGATCCCACAATTTGACATTTGGGTATTTTGGATGTGGGTAAGGTGTGGGAAACGTAGCAGTCTCTACAACACCTGTTTGTGCAGAGCCCTCCTCCTCATCCCCCATTCCCCTGAAAGCATTGATGAAGGTGGACTTTCCAGATCCAGTCTCTCCTGTTACAGCAATGTTCAGTTCTACAAGGTCTTGCTGAGCAAAATAATCATCGATCTTGCTGACAGCTGATGGAAGATCTTCATGGGTCAGTGTTTCTTTAATGTCTTCAACAGTAACAACGTCAAAGTCCTCACCTATAAAATCATCCATCTATAAAATAAGACATATTGCACTTATTTTAATGTAAAATTCATGGTCAAATAGATAATCTCATGCAAATGTGAATACATTAGCTGCAAGTAACATAAAACCTATCATATTGACCAGAAATTCTAAGATTTCACCATCACTACATTAAGGTTTAGCTGAGTGTTTTTCCTGAATTCAGTGATCACACTAGTTGGTGGGAACACACTATCTAAACTCAAATGCAGATTAAATATGTTGAACCTTGGTGCTTAGAAGTGGTGTGCTTTGAATCTTCTGAATTTGAATCTTCTGAATTTTCTCCATTTTTTCTATCACTCTGGTGCAAGTTAATGTTTATACTGTCTGTTCACAAAACTGTGACCTTATGAATGGATGAATGAAAAAGATTTCCATCTTGTGATAAACCATTTGGTGTATTCTTTTCTTTAAGGTAGTCTTTGACACATTGATGCCTCCATACTGAAAAGTGTTTTTTTGGACTCCTGTGGCCTTCACTTGGTCTCATCATCAACATGGTATCTCCACACTTTTGACTTGGGCCCAATCCCATTTCACCCCTTGTCCCAATTTTTGTTGAGATAGAGGGGTAGCGTGAAGTGTTAGGGCTACGTGGCCCTCCAAACGGAGATTTTTCAGAGGCACAGTCGGAGTGTTATCAGACAAAAAGAAAAACCGGTAAGATGGCTGCGCGAGCGACCAACGAAACCCACAGTATTTTCTCCGTTAAAAAATTACAATAACTATCGTATTATCTTAGTTTAATGTCATTTCAATGTATTATGGTCACTTTCTTTATAACAAGCATAAAAAATCGCTAATAGCATGCTAATGTTTCGGTAGCTAGGTAGCTAACTTCCTGTTCTACCTTAAATAGTCCAGCAGTATTTTGACACCTGAAGCGCCAGAATGTAACTGCTTCACCATTTAAGGTGGAACGGGAAAATTCCAACAAGAAGCTGGCGAATATCTGACTTCAGCTTCGTATCACCAAAGAATTAGCGGTGGGCGATAATAAATAATTGTCTTAAACCCCTCTTTGAAGGCATGTGATGCCCTAAATGTAGCTAAAGCCCAACAGTGAGGTTGCTGAACCTTTCCCTTCTCTGCTATCACTGAAGACGGGCCGGGTCGCCTACAGAACAGCGCTACTAGCCTGTTAATGAAGCAGTGTATTATTATTTTTTTTTTTAATTTGAGGGTTGTCCCATTTCGTAGGGCAAACTTTCAATGATTACCCCTTGTAACTCAGTTCAAAGGGATTAGGGTGACACTCGAAAACAAGGGGTAGGGGTAAAAAGAAGAAATGGGATTGGGCCTTGGTCTTGACTAGTCATAGTCATGGATTTGTCTTTGACTTGACAAAGGTGGTATTGACTACCAGTCTTGACTACTACTACTATTGCTGGGCTCACCACTGCTTTACTGTGTTTACTTAGTGCAAATCAACTCTAAATAGCAATAGACTTTTTGCTATCTCTCTTGTAGGTAAACCAGTTATACAATGACACATCTGGCCAATTACTTTTGGACTTTTTTGGACTATGTATAATAGGGTCTGTGATTCCTGTATGGATCACATTATACAAAGCCCATTCCAAAAAGCTTGAGACAGTTAAGACACGCTGCTGTATTACATGCAGAATGTGACTTGACACTGTCTTGCTGAAACAAGCAGGGATGTCCCTGAAAAAGACGTCATCCAGATGGCAGCATATGTTGTATCAAAATGTGTAAGCATTAATGAAGCCTTAACAGAATTACAAGTTACTCATGTCATTGGCACTAACACACCCCTATACCATGACAGATGCTGGCACTTAAACTTTGCGCTGGTACAATTGGGATGGTCCTTTTCCTCTTTGTCCCAGAGAACAAAACGTCCAATATTTCTGAAAACAATCCATCTCCGATTCAGCAGTGCTGAAATATGTTTATTGACCAGGGTTTTCTGAAGTATTCCCAAGCCTATGTGGTTATATTAATTACAGAGATATGTGGGTTTTTAATCAAGTGCCATCTGAAGAATTAAAGGCCAGGGGCATACAACATTGATTTCTGGCCTTGCCCATTACACACAGAGATTTTAATAATGTTATGGACTGTAGATGGTGAAATCCTAAAATTCATGTGTTGAGAAGTGTTCTTTTTAAACTGTTGGTCTATTCACTCACAAAGTTTTTTGCAAAGTGGTGACTGAAGCTTTTGTAAGTGCTCCTTTTATACCCAATTATGATAACATCACCTGTAACTTATTTACCTGTGTACCGGTGGAAAGTCCCAACTTTTTTGTGGAATGTGTTTCAGGCATTTAAAATATTATCTCTTCTTTGTGCTGTTTTCAATTAAATACCTGTAAAAGACCTATTGTCCTAACTTTTTTGGAATTGAGTGTGTAGATGTAAATATTGTCAAATTAAAGCTGATGTTCTGTGCTTTAATCTCATATTCATTGTTTTGTTTTAAACCCAGTGAGCTGGAGAAAATAAACAACAATGACAACAACCAATTTCCAATGATATATGGTACATTTTTGTTCATATTAAAATGCTAGTGAAACTGCTGCAGTACACAGAGGCAAATGAATAAGGAGTGGTAAAATAAGAACATTTCCTTTTTTAAGCACATTTTGATGTGTAGATGCAGTCAGGGGACTGTCATGAGCAAAGGTGGGTAACTACAGTGCTGTGAAAAAGAATTTCTTCTATTTTTGCATATTTGTCACACTTGAATGTTTCAGATCATCAAACTTCTTTTAATATTAGACAGTGATAACCCAAGTAAACACAAAATGCTGTCTTTAAATGATGACTTTATTTATTGAAGGAAAAATGCTGTTAAGCCCTACTTGGCCCAATGTAAAAAAGTAACTGCCTCTTTAGCTACTAAATCAACCAGTTAATCAAATTCAATTGACTTCAGTTCAGTTTCATCAGCCACACCCAGGCATGACTATTGCCAGACCTGTTGAATCTAAACATCACTGAAATACAACCTGTTTGGCAACCTTGAAGCAGGCTAGAAGGTCTCAAAAAGCAGCACATGATGCCACGTTCTAAAGAGATTCCAATACAGATGTGAAACAAAGTCACTGAAATCTATCAGTCTGGAAAGGGTTACAAAGCCATTGCTAAGGCTCTGGGACTTCAAACCACAGGGAGATCCATTATCCACAAATAGAGAAAACCTGGAACAGTGGTAAATCTTCCCATGAGTGGCGAGCCTACACCAAGAGCACCTTGATGACTCATCCAGTAGGTTATAAAAAACTCAGACAAACATCTAATGAACTGCAGGCC